AAACGGAGCCTTGTTTTCACTAGAATTATCGCTTTGGGGCGTGGGATTTCCTCGATGCCTATCCTGAGAATCGAAAACATCAGCGCGAAAAACTCTTGAAGCGTTTTGGATCAATGCCAAAAATTCAAAAATGAACCGCAAGGAGGAGTGTCTTGTCATCACGCGTGACCTAGCGCCATACCTCAGGCTGATCCAATGATCTGACATGGACCCAGTTATCGACCATGTATTACTCTGTGCGGCGGCTATCCACCAACTAACTTAAATACTTACAACAAATAAACGGTAGGTGTTTGAATGAAGCTGTTTCTTATGCGAATACAAATCGATTTATCAAGTTTTATCTGCTAGGGTTATGAAAGTGTTTGGCTGAGTAGATCGCATCTCAATTTGACCTTTCCAGGCTCTGAAGAAGGCGAAACCGCCGAAACGTCAGCAATTGTGTTCTAATAAATTCTATATTAACAACCTCGTGTCTGCTTATTGATGAAAAACATTGAATTATCAATTAATGCCGAGGTTAACAGAAAGTCGGTCATGGGAATTACTACGTGGAGAGCTGTTAGTGGCTGGATTCCTCGGGATATCGAGCGTATTTCACGTAGACCACCGTTCTGATGGCCAGAGTTCCTCACTAAAAACGTGGAAGAAAGATATGATGTTCAACGAGTCCTCAGGGCGATCAGAACCCACTGGGCTACTCTTGCACGCGACAGGAAGAAATTTACTGGCAAACGTTCGAGTCACTCGACGATCAACGGAAGTACAGGTGAAACAGGTGACAAATGATCCTCTGCGTATTGCTTACATGATGGGGAACCAAAAATTGGTCGTATAAAAATAACAATTCGGTATTTAGGTGAACACGAGTTGAGTGGTACTAGTATGCTCGTGATCGCCATTTTACTAGTCCTTGTGGATTTACATGACCCATCTTCGCAACTACTCTGTGAATCCTAGCAATTCTTACATTCGTTTCGTGTTTTCGCATTTATCATCTACGAAGGTTTTTGAGTTTTTCCCGTATGGGTTGGGCTGCTGTTCGACGACTGTCGTCTTTATGAATATCGTTGAATGCATGGTGAGTCAATCCTCACTAAAATCCTGGGGTTGCCAAGCTAGAGCATTCCCATTTGAATTGCAGGGAGTAATTTGCAAACAAACACGGCGTCAGTTTCCCGACTCGGTAAGGTGAGAAGCCTGATGGACTGAGTGAGGGGTCGAACCTGCACCGTGCTCACGATGAACGGCATCTACCGCTGCGTTACCGGCTCCCCTTCTATTAATTTGGGAGCACTATAAGCATAAAAGTTCTATTAGTGAAAGTTCGATTTTTGTCTTTAAATATCGAAGTACTTAATTAGATTGTCAGGTCCGTGCGTTCTACGACACTTTCTTTCATATTATGGTTAGTCCTTGCAGAGTAAGACGTCCCAATGATGCATCGCCAAAATTCTCGCCAGTATATCGTGAAATCTCCTCATCAAATTGCTACTAATTGTTTTTAGCTTCCATCTTATATATCCGTCGATATTTAAGATCGAGTACTTGTTGTACACTAGTGCTTTTTGAGCCCACTGTATTTTACAAGGCGTCGCTCGATTAATGCGTGAGTAATAGGTGAATCCTCTTTACCACCTCATCATAGCTGGGAGGTGTTCCTGGGTGTGGGACAGGACTGCAATGTATAGCGAGGAGTTCATCCCCCGACACGGTTTCCCAAGTTGAGAAGGAGTCCGGCGTCTCCATCAGGAAGCCCAGCTAGGAGTAATTCACCTTCTCTTTGATCCACAAGGGCTGCGACTGCCTGTCGTGGTGACGACCTGGGACAAATTTTGGCCTGGCTGCCCTCAGGGCAGGGAACCACGGTTTCGAAACCAGCAAAATTCCAAAAAATGGAGATTATGCGGGTCCCTCACAACCCAACAACCCACCCCCATCCCTCTCTCCCTCTCTTGTCGCATATTTAATGCCTTTAGCAATCACCCGTCAACGGGAGTGCTGAGAGGAACGCCTAACGGGACAGGCATGGTGTAGTAGTGAACACGTCATTCCTCGTAATTGGTAATAACGGGTTCGATCCCCACCGCAGACACAAGCAGTCCGGAGTATTGTACGTACCTCAGCATCACTGTGCTTGCCTTTCACATAGTACCGTGTAGTGAAAAATTGTGGTAGTAAATAAAAACTTAATGTATTTATAGTTAGCACGCACTTTTCCAGTTTTTTACGAGGATTTTGAACAAAATTGTAGTATTAATCAACTATGCTTGCAGAATCGGGACTCGTTACAAGAAAAGCCACCTCTTTCAGACATGGAATCAAGCAAGTTGCATTGCATCTGTAGAACGACATATAATCCAGAGAAGTACATATAGTCTTCGTTACCTTTCCTATTTTTTTTCTTGACTTTTTGTACACCTCGTTATAGGTCCTATGTCGCTTGTGCCATTTGCTTTCGTTGGTTTCATGGAGACTGTGCAGGCCTTAGTCAGGTAGACGCGAAGGAAACTGACGGGTGGTCATGTCGGGAATGCAGTCTGCTAACTCAGAAATCACATCAGGATCAGAAGCTCTTCTGCACTTGTCGGACTCCCTATAATGATACGGAGTATGCTAGTTGTTTTTTTCCATATATTTATCTATGGGGCGCGTGTGACGCAGTGGTCGGAGGCACTCTGCAGCACACACGTGAGATCGATCTTCGCACCCAGGGCCACCAAGCCTTCTGTCCTTTCGGCGTCGGCAAATTGGTATCAGACTTGTATTGGAAGATGGCAGCACTGGCTTGATATATCGCTGGGCCACCGTAAGCACTGTGAAGGCTAGATATGGACTCAGTCACCTCCAACGATGCTTAATGAAGTCGAATGCATGGCGCATCTCTCAGGGATTGATCAACGCTGAAAACTTTATCCTTTCTATATTTATTTGCGATTCCCATTTCCGTGTTTGATAAGGAAACCTTATGGATTGACCGGTTGGCTTTCCAGGTTTTATGTTGGTTGCGAGAGTTGCAAAGATTGGTTCCACCCACGATGTGTTGGTATCACAAAAGAGTATGTTTTTTTTACTTTATGTAACTATCGTCAACGGTTTACCGCCTTATCGTGGCTGGGAGGTGTTCCTGGGTGTCGGGCTGCGATGTACAGCGGTGGATTCATCCCCCGGCAGGGTCTCCCAAGCTGAGAAGGAGTCCGGCGTTTCCATTAGGAAGCCCAGCTAAAACTAAACGAATACCGGGATCAACCACCGTTCTGGTATCGAACTAGTCGTATGGTGGCAAATCTCCCTCTAATCCACAAGGACGGCGACTGACTGTGGTGGTGACGGCCTGGGGGCAGACCTTGACCAGGCTGACTTCGGGATTCCAGGGAAACATAGTGGCTAAACCAGCAGAACTCCGAAATTTGGAAAATGTCCGGGAGTCCGCACAACCAGTGAAGACATGCCGTCGAAGTATGGAAGTAAGTATGTCACTATGATCTCTGCAATTGTTACGTACAGTGAGAAATTTGTAAATGGATTTTCTTAGTGATTTCGTGCTCATGTTGGTGGATTTGTAGAGAGGCCGAGGCAATGGCTGAATACATGTGCCCCACATGTGTCGAGGCTCAAATCGCTCATGGTTACGAATCGACGAGTAGTTCGGCTAGCGGAAACCGTGCTACTTTATGGTGACTTTTTCTGGATGTTAGAATTCTTTTCACCGTTTTGACTGGAGTACAGGATTTCTGCTTAGAAGTTTTATCGTTGGGGGCGCGTGCATCTCAGTAGTTAGGAGTGCCATGCGAAACACATGTTAGTTAATTCGATCACGTGCTCATTAAAAAAAGCCCCACCCATAACTCCGGGGTACAGGTTGGTACCCGACTCGTTTGGAGGGGATAAAAACAAACTGTTGACTGAATACATCGGTAGGCCACGCAAATCGTTGTGTATATCAAATATGCATTCAGTCACCTCTTCGATGCGTACTGGAACTGAATGGATGGGAAATGCCTAGGAATAGACTAACATCGAATGGCTCCTTGTTTTATCTCTTGTGGTTACAAGTCTTTCTTCAGCCGTGCTGATTATGCTCTTATTTGGCGTCTTCTGGAATGTGTAAATGACCACGAAATGTCGTGTCCATTTCGGCAACCTGTTAGCCTGGAGGAATTTCCGAATTATTTGGATGTCGTTAAGAACCCAATCGGTAAGTACTCTACAGAGTACCGAGCAAATAGCAATCGGTCATACCACTATTTAGATAACCATCATTTGACGACTCTACTTTGCTATAAATATTTCCGTCACAATGATTCCAGATCTGTCAATAATCCAGAAGCGCTTAGAGACTCTTGAATATCAGCGCTTGAAGGACTTTACTGCGGATATGTCACGGCTATTTGAAAATGCAAAATTGTTCTACGCTCAGGTATATCTTATCTTCAAGTAGTGAGTAAAAACAGCGCTATTCAATAACGTCTTTTCAGGGCAGTGATGTCTATAAATCTGCTGAAACTTTAGAAAAACTATTCGAAGATGCGTTAGCTGATGTCCGAGCCGAAATTGGTGCCCGTGATAATGGAAGGAAAGTGAGCGCTATTTCTTCCTCATTAAATAGTTAGGAAATGATGATGAGTTAGCTCTCTATTTTGAACATTTCCATGTTTACAAACCTTGAGGAATGTCTATCTCTTACAAAAAAATTAAGATCGAGCTGACTAAATTGAGTTAATCGTTGATTTTTAAGTCTGAATGTACGACTGCTTTATTCAAGGATTTCTGAAGGATTAACAAGTGCTAAGCTATGTAACCACGAATCTCCCTCACATGAGGGATCTCGAGCCGGTTAGTCACGGGGCTGCGTGGCGCGTCCCCAGGTGGCGTATAAGGGGTTAATCGCGGAAAATGAGCGACCTTTGCTTTTCTGAGACAGGTGGATCCAAGGGTGCATTCCGTGTTTTCTGTGCCGATTTGCTTCATACTTTCTGTATTCGCTAGGCGTATTCATGCATGCGTGTGTGGGTGCGTTCTTGCTTATGTGGATTGCATTCTACTAGTCAATTCGGCCAAAAGCCTGTAATCAAGTGGCAGGGAAATATATGGGAGGCGGTTAGGAGTCGCCTCCAGCAAATAAGCTCCATTTCCTCTCTGGTGGAGCCCGGCAACCTACCCGTGAGTATACCTAGCCCAACGTTCAGAGCCCAGCAAGCTATACGTCGGTATCAAAGTGCTAAACACACTTTGAAAAAACGGGACTCATTCCCCTAACCCCGAAAGAGCCCCCAGTTTCGCAGCGTTGGGTAAGAAGAGTACGGAGAGGCTGCTAAAATCTCAGGCCCAATGGAAGCTGCCTGGATTAAAAACAACTATGGTGACGATCTGTATCTGCAATGCACGTACACTTGCATCCGAGTCCTCGATAGAAGACTTGATTATGCAAGCAAGAAAAGGTACCATGTCATCGACCTGGTCCAAAGAGAGGACGCTAACCATTCAACGCCGTCTGACAAAAAAATCTGACACGGACGCTGTTTCACAGAACATAAGACAGTAGAGGAGTCAGCGGCGTCAGCGTTTTCGTCAATACGAATTTGTCTACGAACATCGATTCCTTCGGACAACTAACAACCCGAATCGGATGTTCGCGATTAAAGAGTAGTGGGTCAATGACGACTTTGACAATCGTCCTCGTTTACGCGCCAACATTAAACTATGACGAAGAAGAAGTCGAGGCGTTCTTTATGGACTCGGAGAAGTTCTACAGTGAAGATCATGCATTCTTCAAGGTCATCACTGGAGATTTCAACGCCAAGATTGGACCAAGAAGAACGTCTGAAAAATGTCACATTGGGGCTCACGGATTAGAACGGAACAAACAGAGTGAGCGGCTGTCTGAGTTTAGCATGACGACCAAGACCATCCATGGTAACTCGCAATTCCAAAAGCCCCACCCTGAGCGCTGGACGTGAGAGTCTTCTAGTGGAGAGTACCATAAATAAGTGGACCACATCATGGTAAATAGAAGGTTTTGCTTAACCGATGTCGCTGTTGTCCTAAATTCTACACGTGATCAGACCATCGTCTCCTTCGTGCAAGATTCTATTTCTCGCGAAAAAGAGAAAAGGCCGCTAAATTCAAAACCGAAGTCCCAGAACCACCATAAACTGGGACTCATTCAATTCATTAGTCGGCCTTTGGGAAGATGCCGTTGTCGATAACATCAGCGAGGAATACGATCGGCTCATTCAACATCTTCACGTTAACGCTATGAAATCTGAGAGTTTGAAAGTCACCAAGAGACGCCTGTCTTCAGAAATACTCGAGCTGATACACCAGCATGGAATCGCACGAGTTGCAGGTAACCGCCAAATAACGTCCGAGCTTGCAAAAGATTGCAGACAGGCGATAAAAGATCTTAAAGAGAGATGAGCAGCAGTAATGGTCGAAGCTGCAGAGACTGGGAAAAGCATTCGTAAAGTCCACCGAAGCTTCGCCAATTACAAGACCATGATGATTGCACTCCGACGCCCAAACGGAACAGTTACAGCGTCCAGGAAGGCAATGGAGAAAATTATTCGCGGATACTACTCAATTCTTTTCGATTGCCACGTCCAGCTCCTGTTATATGAAATAAAGGAGGACGGATATGTTGTACCACCGGTTCTCCCTTTCGGAATTAAACATACCATTTTGTCGGTGAAAAATCGAACAGCACCAGGTCCAGACAGAATAGGACCAGAATACCTGGAGAACCTTCCACCAGTCCTCGTAAACATACTGGCTCGGCTCTTCACACGTTACCTGTCTGAGTGCAAGGTTCCTACTCAGTGGAAGACCAGCAAGACCGTGTTATTGTTCAAGAAGGGTGACCTGTACGATATTGGCAACTATCGCCCAATCTGCTTACTATCTGTCACCTACAAACTTTTCACTCGAGTCATCCTAAACAGGATTGACAGAACACTAGACGAAGGACAGCCATGTTAGCAAGCAGAGTTTCGAAAAGGATTTAGTACGATGGACCACGTCCACACGACAAGACTCACTGAAGAATCGCGAGAGTACAAAGGTTTGCTCTGTCTCACTTTAATCGATTTACAGAAGGCCTTTGTGATTTGAAAGAATTGAGATTCAATTGAGAGAGAAGCAGTCATGGAAGCCCTTGATAGTCAAGGATTCCCTGCTCAGAACATAAAGATTCTTCGTGAGTTGTACAAAGATTTCATAATCAAGATATCACCATTCTACAACGAAATTTACATTGACGTCAAAGGAGAGGTTAAGCAAGGCGATACCATCTCGCAAAATTATTTACCGCCATCCTCGAGAACGTCATGCAAACATTGGAATGGGAGAATATGAAAATGAAAATAGATGGTCGACAGTTACATTATCTTGGCTTTGCTGATGACATCGTCCTTATAATACTAAGCGTTAGCCAAGCGGAGCGTATGCTTGCCGGCTTTGATAAAGACTGTGGTAAGTTTGGTCTTCGGCTAAATCTCATAAAAACGGTGTTCATGAGGAATGGATTGGTTTCTATGCTCCTTTCACGCTCAACGGAACGAATATCTCCGAATGTTCCAGTTATATCTATCTAGGTCGGGAAAGGAACATGCTGAACGACTTAGCTCCAGAGTTGAGCAGAAGTAAACAAGCCGCTTAGGGAGCTTTCAAGAGCGGCAAGGACGTAGTGAAGAGGACGATGGTTGTCCGACTCCGTGCTTACCTTTTCAACTTAACGGTACTTCGTGCGCTAACGTATGCGTCAAAAACTTTTCGATGCGTAAGCAGGGTGAAAGATCACTCAGCGTTGTCGAACGCACAGTCGGAAGGACGAGGCTAGGAATATCCCGTTCCACACAAGGGATTCAAAGCTCCGATCTGCTTCAACGATCAAAAATCAAAAAAGCCATTCCGTACGCCAAACGGTCGAAGATAAGGTGGGCGGAGCACGTAATGCGTATGAATGACAACGGATGGACAAGAGCCGTTAGTGACTAGATTCTTTGCGATGTCAAACGCACTGCAAGAAGACAACCGACCTGATGGTCAGTGCTCTTCACAAAGAGCCTAGAAGAAAGATATGTTCCTCAACGAGTCCCTAGAGCGAGCAGAGCCCACTGGGCTGCTAATGCACGTAGCAGGGAAAAATGGACGATTTACTGGCGCCCGCTTGATTCACTCGACGATCAACGGGACGAGACAACAGGTGGTGTAGGTGAGGCTATGTAATACTAGAGTATTTAAAGTTTTATATACATTTATGAAAAGCTTAGGTAGTAAATCTAGTGTGGACAGCCGGCCATTGATTTTAAAGTAGTCTTACAGAACTAGTTTTCTTTCAAACGAAATAGTAGGTTGTTCAAAAATAAATGACCGTTTTAACTATATAATCTAAAATATTATTACTTGCTTCAAGCAGTATTTCATTAGTCAAAATGGAAACCATTTGAATATACACATTTTTCAACGAGAAACAATTTTATTTATTCAATTTGCACAGAACTCTGGAGTTCTGGAAGCGATGAGTCCGTTGAAAGAATTTTTGCACTATTGTGGTTGGTGAAGCATTTCTCACGCAGGAAGTTGTCAAGGTTTTTAAAGAAGTGATAGTCTTTAGGCGAGAGGTCTGGTGAATATGGAGGATGAAGCAAAATTTCGTAGCCCAACTCGCTGAATCTCTGCAGCGCTGGCTCCGCAGCATGAAACCGAACATCGTGGTGCAAATTGATTGGTCCTTTTCTGTGGACTAATGCCGATCGTTGTTGTTGGAATTTACCGTGCATTTCGTCGAACTGTTGGCAATACTTCTCTGCCGTGATGGTTTCCCGGATTCAAAAAGCTGTGACGAATAAGCCTGGTTGCAAACTACCAAACAGTCACCGTGACCTTTTTTGGTGCAATTTCGACTTAGAGAAGTGTTGTGGAGCCTGGTCACAATCCAACCATTGAGCAGAACGTCGCTAGTTGTACGGAATCTACTTCGCATCGCACGTCACAATTCGATCAAGAAAAAGGGCGTTTTTGTTGCGCAGAATAAGAGCAAACGACACTTCAAAACGGTGATTTTTTTATTATCGTTTAACTGTGAGTGGAAATTGTTTCTGTGCTTACGCCAAGCTGTTCTGCGAGGTCTATAACAGTTGTTCGCGTGTTTTCTTTCACTGGTGCTTTCAATTCGTCGTCGTCAGGTTTGTTGGGACATCCGCGGGCTTCCTTAATCTTCGAAGTGGAAATCACCAGATCGGAATTTAGGGAACCATGTTCGAAGCGTTGATTCACCAACATTACCTCTACCCCAAATTTCTTTAGTGTTTCAAGACGCCTGTACTGCACTACGACCAGGTTTGAACTCATAAAAGAAAATTAGCTTTTGTCATCTAAAATCTATTGAAAAGATCGATAGAACTAGCTGAGAGACAGTCAAAACGAAGGACCCGGATGGTGTGGTGGTGAAGTGCGGTGCTCCCCGGTAAGGACAACAGCGCGAGTTCGTTCCCCGCCGCGTACACATGCGGTCCGCAGTTTTGCAAATATCTCAGCATTATATACGAGTTATACTTCGCAACATACCCTGTCATTAAAAAGAAAAAGGCAGTAAATAAAAAGGTTAAGATGATAAGGTCATGGTTGGAAATAAAAGAAATGGACAAAGCTTTCGGTTTGATCAATCCTTGAGGGATGCGCCATACATTCGACTTCATTAAGTATCGTTGGAGGTGAATGGATGCATATCTGGCTTTTACAATGACAAGCGGTGGCCTTCCGATGTATCGAACCAGTGCTGCTATCCATCCGAGACAAGTCTGGTACCAATTTACCGACTCTGGAGGGATGGAAGCCATGGCGGGCCATGGGCGCTGGGATTGATTCCACGCGTGTGTCTCAGTGGCGCCTCCAACCATTCTAACCACATGGTTAAAAAGAGCATAAAATCAGCTTTTTAATGTTATATTATACTGCGAGGTGCAAAGAATATTCGATTTGTAAAATAGATTAGAACAATAAATATTTTACAGCTGTCATTTATTTCTGAACAACCTAATATTTTGGGAAAACTACGAACTCACTTAATTCTCCGTTGTCTTCTAAAGTAAGCTTGTTGTTGATTCTAGGTTTCTGAATCTCGAACGGCTGATAGTTCGTTGGACATTGACACAGATCAACTAATTGATGTGAATCTGGACGTAGATCCTACAATGTTCCTACTTTAACACATTTTCGACGACTTGAGTCAAATACCACTCACACATGGATGGACCTTT